AAATGGGGCTGAGTTTGTCTAGAAGGCACTAAAGCATTTTCCTAGGGGCTTTACAGGGTAATAAACATTACCTTTATTTTTATTTTTTTTTACAGAGAAGAAGGGAGAGGGATAGAAAGTTAGAAACACTGAAGAGAGAAACATCAATCAGCTGCCTCCTGCACCTCCCCCCAACTCCCCACTTGGGATGAGCCCACAACCAAGATACATGCCCTTGACCAGAATCAAACCTGGGATGTTTCAGTCCGCAGGCCGATGCTCTATCCACTGAGCCAAACCGGTTTCGGCGGTGTGTAATTTTTTAAATCAAGAAGTTGGCTTAAGCCCGGCTGGCACGGCTCAGTGCTTGAGTGTCGACCTATGAACCAGGTCACGGTTCGATTCCCTTTCAGGGCACATGCCTGGGTTGTGGGCTCCATCCTCAGTGTGGGGCGTGCAGGAGGCAGTTGATCGATGATTCTCTCCAATCATTGATTTCTTTCTCTCTCTCTCTCTCTCTCTCTCTCTCCTCTCTCTTTTTCTCTCTCCCTCCCTTCCTCCCCCTCTCCCTTCCTCTCTGAAATCAATAAAAAAGATATATATATATAAAATTTTATATATATATAAGATATATATAAAATATATATATTATATATATATATATAATATATATATATATTTTTAAAGAGGTTGGCTTAAGTTTCATAACTACCAATTACTGTGTCCCTACTATGTGCCAGCTGCTTTTCCAACAATCTTAGATGGAAGGTGGCAGCATACTTGTCGTGGATGCAGAATCGGAAGGTCGGCAAGGCTAAAAGACTCGCACGAGGTAGAGTCGCTGGCGGAGCAGAGGATCTGAACCTAGGCCAGCCTAGCCACAAAGCTGCCATGGTGCCCGGCCATCCAGCTCGTTATCCAACTCTGGCCTCGCTGAAGAAAACATGCTGCTAGTTTTTATTTTGAGAATGAATGGGAAGGGAGTTGGGACACCATGTGCTTGGCTCTCTGCTGACTGACACAGTGTCTAGATAACGTTTCTGAGAACTGTCTTCCAGATAGAGCTAATCGCAGCTCGCTCTTGTCTTCCTTTTTGTTGCTTCTGGAATCATCGTAGGTTTTCCTTTCTTATGTTTTGTCAAGTTAAAAACAAAGCTGGTGTTTTTGCTGATAAAAGCACAGCTTCAGTGTAGAACAGACAGGGTCTACAGAAAGAAAACGTTGTCCTGAGCCGCACACCCGATTCTGGGGGAGAATGTGGGCGCTGGAGCTGGAAAGCGGGGTGTGCACCCTGCTCTGCCACCTGGGATTGCGTGACCCTGAGCTGGCCCTTCGCTTCTGTGCCTCTCTCCTCGTCTCTGAAGTGGAAACGAGCGCCCTGCTTCTTTGGGGTGTTGTTAAGATAAAATGATACAGAGCTCCCAAAGGTGATGAAGAGGCGGGTAGCATTAAAAAAAAAAAAAAAAAAAAAAAAAAAAAAAAAATATATATATATATATATATATATATATATATATATATTATTGATTTTTTTACAGAGAGGAAGGGAGAGAGATAGAGTTAGAAACATCGATGAGAGAGAAACATTGATCAGCTGCCTCCTGCACACCTCCTATTGGGATGTGCCCCCAACCAAGGTACGTACATGCCCTTGACCGGAATCAAACCTGGGACCTTTCAGTCCTCAGGCTAATACTCTATCCACTGAGCCAAACCGGTTTCGGCGGTGGGTAGCATTTTGAGCATCCTCTCTGAACTCCTGTAAACGCGGGTGAATACCTAGGCTAGGGTACACATCCTAATGAACACAATGGGACCATTCTAAACCAACCGGTTCTCATCTAATAACCTACTGTGGCTGCCTTTCCTCCCCTCTGTGTAGCCTTTTTGTTGCTTGATAAGTGCCTAGACCCCGAGGACGGAACGGCGTGAATGGAGCTGGTCTCAGAGGGACAGGAACTATTGGCTAGGTCTCCCTAAAATTTCCCCCCACCCTCCGTTGCTTGTAGCCACTAACAAGCCAATAGGTCTTAACACAGGTTTGAAACCCACCCCTCAGCATGGGGTGTGTCCTGTATGCAGACTCAGCAGAGCTGGCTGCCTATTGCTCCAGGCGGCATGAGAGTGACGGGAGGGAGGCAGAGTTCAGGGCTAACAGCCCTCAGCGGGAGAGACCTCTGAAAAGGTTTACGACTTTAATGGGATTTCCTGCAGCCTAATCCTGGGTGTTTGAACCCTGGCGTTTTAAGCAGAGCGGGCGGGCCTCCGAGGAGCTGGCTGCCTTCCAAGCTGCTGTCGGTGACAATCATGGCCGGCCATTTGCCTGTGGCATTTAAGCAGAGGCCTTGCTTCTTCACTCCGATGTAGGGAATAGGGCATCTCTGAGAAAGGATGTAACACCTACCACCCTCTTCAGGGCGGTAAGTCCGCCAATGATATGGTGGTGCCGGTGTGTCCTCGAGGTGTGATGGAATGGCATCGGGGCTTAAAAAAGAGCCACAATGTGTGTGTTGCACATGGAAAAAAAAAAAAAAAGGAAAAAAGGAGGGAAATCACACGTTTTTTCCACAGCTGTAAAGCCGGGAGCATCAGTTCCTCTCCGCAGTATTTCCCAGGGTGCTTTGCAGTGTTTCCTTCGGACACCTTGCCTGTGAGGAAGGTTAAGGAGCAGTGTCCCCCTTGGGCTGAGGGAGACACCCGGACAATGGGAGGTTCATTGATCCTTCTTGGGCTCTGGGCCAGGCAGAATGGCTCCTGCTTTCCGCTCTGAGCCAGGGCTGTCTCGGGGAAGTGCTCAGGGGAGGCAAGAAAAGATGGGGCATCTGCTTAGCCATGTTCTCGGGAGTTCTGTTTTGGGGGGTTCCCGAGGCAGAGAGAGCTGGACAGTTTAAAAGTCTAGGTCCAGGCCCTCGCTGGTTTGGCTCAGTGGATAGAGCATTGGCCCGTGGACTGAAGGGCCTGAGAACTGTCTTCCAAAATAGAGCTGATCGCAGTTAGTAAATACAATTGTAAATACAATCCCCTTGACCGGTTTTGGGCTCGATCCCCAGAGGGGCCATGCAGGAGGCAGCCGATCAATGATTCCCTCTCATTATTGATGTTCCTCTCTCTCTCTTCCTCTCTGAAATCAATAAAATATATTAAAAAGAAAAAAAAAAGTCTAGGTCCAGGATCCTTGACCTACAAGCTGCTTTGCTGCCATGAGCTAAGCTGGAGGGAGTGATGGATGGCAGAAGCAAATTATTTTTGGCTCCATGGCTCAGACTTGGCAGGAGGCCCTTTAAATTTGAAATGTAAACCTGAGGGCTCCAAAGGTTTGGGAAGCTGAGGTCATTTTCTCCCTGCAGGTCCCATGCCGGCCTGTTCTGTGGAGGGGCTACCCATTACACCAGGGCGTGCTCTGCTAGGGCTCTCTACAATGAAGTGCTCATATAATATGGCAACCTATGTAATAAGGCTATAGGGAGGGCTTCTAACATGGAGGGTCCCTGCCTCTCTCCCGCTCACCCCTCTGCCTCCCAACACACACACACACACACACACACACACACACACACACACGAAAGTTTGATCCTCATCACAAAACCAGGTTGGTGCTGTTGGAGGCATGGTCTTAGGTCAGAAGTGAGTATACCAATGCTTCTGTTATTCTTCTGTCGTGTCTTTTTCTTTTTTGCTCAGTCCTCCCCAGAGGATATTTTTCCATTGATGTTTTAGAGAGAGTGGAAGGGAGGAGGAGGGACAGAGAGAAACATCGATGTGCGAGAGACACAATAATTGGTCGCCTCCCACACAGGCCCCGACCAGGGCTGGGGATCCAGCCTGCAACCAAGGTAGGTGCCCTTGACCAGGATGGAACCTGGGACCCTTTGGTCTGTAGGCTGAAGCTCTGACCACTGAGCAAAACTGGCTAGGGCTATTTTTTCCCCCCTAAAATATATTTTATTGATTTTTTCCAGAGAGGAAGGGAAAGGGATAGAGAGTTAGAAACATGGATGAGAGAGAAACATCGATCAGCGGCCTCCTGCATGCCCCCTACTGAGGATGTGCCCGAAACCAAGGTATATACATTCCCTTTACCGGAATCGAACCTGGGACCCTTCTGTCTACAGGCCGACGCTCTATCCACTGAGCCACACCGGTTAGGGCTATAGGGCTATTCTTATGTCTTTTTTTTTTTTAAATATATTTTTTATTGATTTTATACAGAGAGGAAGGGAGAGAGATAGCGAGTTAGAAACATTGATGAGAGAGTCTCATCGATCAGCTGCCTCTTGCACACCCCCCACTGGGGATATGCCCGCAACCAAGGTATGTGCCCTTGACCGGAATCGAACCCTGGACCTTTCAGTCCCCAAGCCGACGCTCTATCCATTGAGCCAAACCGGTCCCGGCTGTTCTTATGTCTTGAATGTCCTTTTCCTCTAGCTCCTTGGAGGCCCACTCATCATTAGCTAAAACCCGCACAAGATTGCTGTGGGCTTGAAGAGTCCCTATCCTCTCTCCCTGCCCCCCTCCCTCCCCCAGCTTTATTGAGGTGCAGCTGATAAATACAAATTGTATATATGTATTTAGAGGAGGGCAAGCTTTCATAAGAGTAAGGAATGCATGGAACTTGAGGCAGCAAAAGTGATTTGAACCCCACTTTACGGCTTACGTGTTGGTCTGAGGCTGAGGGGGGCCTTCTTTTTGAGCACTGTCTTCTCAGCTGTAAGATGGGAGCACCACTGCCCCCCCTTACCCACGGTGAGAGCTACCAGACCATGCTCACAGGGCCATCCACTGCACAGATGGAAACAGATCGGGTTGTGGTCCAGCGAGAGTTGGCCTATGGCCTGCAGATGAGCTGCCGCGGTGACTCTTGACACCCAGACCAGCCTCCTGGGCACCCGGATCTGTTTACCTTAGTACGTGAGGTGGAGCAGATATCTGCCATCAAGGCTTGGACGGTGTCACCGGCCAGGGTGAGGGAACAGGGCCAGGCTGCCATGACCTTTATCTGTGTGTTTTGTCTGGAGCAGGGCTTCCCGGTCACCGCCCTCGTCTGGCTCCTCCCGGATGGAACAGGAAGACGAGCACGGTGTGTGTGAAGACCCGGACTCAGAAGATACAGGAATGGGCTCCGATTTTGAGAACTCCGAGGACAGGGAAGGGGACCCAGACGAGAGAGAAATGGTTTCCCACGCACGGGGCGCGGATGAGAGAGCAGACCGCCCTGAGCAGGAGCGCGGCTCTAGCCCCCGGGGGGAGCGGGGACTGGCATCCGACGTCTGCACAGGTGAGGAGGATGCGGGGGTTTCCGTGGAAGTGGGGGCTCACATGTATGTCTGGCTTCTCCCGAGGTGTAGCCAGGGGCAGCATTCTTGTGAGGGGTTCTCTCCAGAGGGACCAGTGAGCCGAACCCGTATGATTTCAAACCTGAGGAACGTCCCTCTCCCCCGTCCAGTGGGAGGTGACTGTGCTGGTAAACGGGTGAGGAGGGAGTCACTGGCCCCACACTTCACAGTATACAGAACACGGATATGCACTGAGTGGCCAGATTATGATTATCTCTGAACGCATATCCTGTATAATAAAAGGCTAATATGGAAATTGTCTCCTTGACCAGGAGTTCGACCAGCAGGCAGGCCGGCCATCCATCCATGTCCCTTCCCTCTGGCCAGGCTGGCCGGTCCCCATCCATGCATGAACTCATGCACCGGGCCTCTAATTACACACACACACACACACACACACACACAAACATATGTATATATATGCGTAGATAGCTAGATAGCTAGATATACTGAATGGCCAGATTTTATGCGTTCAAAGATCATAATAATCTGGCCACTCAGTGTAAGTCAACACAAGAGAGAACACAGGGAACACGAGAACCCGTCACCGGTGGTTGGGAGAGTTAGAGGTGTTGCCACGTACAAAGCCTCAGTGGGCGCAGCCTGAGCAGAGTATTCAGGAGTTTACAGTTACCGTAATCGAGTTGGTTGGAGACAGCTCAGCTCAGTGGTAAGTGACGGGCCCAGGTGCATGTGACTAATTCTCAGAGCACCAAGGCCTCTGCTCATCATTGCCGTGCTTTTCCTGACCTGGGAGCAGGCTCGATCCGTATTCAGTTCTGTCCTCGCGCCTCCCTTACTTGATCCTGCTCTGTGCATGCCTCGGGGACAGAAATGAGCGGACACCCATGGCCAGGGCTGTGAGATGGCAATCTTTCCCATGTCACTGATCCCAGGCCCAGCAGTGCATGCACGCACGCACGCACGCACACGTTCTTGCAAACCCAGTGACTGGGCATCAGCAGCCAGAGTCAGACAGGTGTGAGTGCTGGGCCAGCTTCCAGGCTGGGCTCAGCAGCTCAGGGCCCTGTGCTCACTTCCCCTTTCCCCCTACATCTTCCTCTCCCCCTTACAGAGCAAAACCCTGGAGTTGGGGGTTGTTTGGTATATTGTTCCACCGTAAGCTGTTCCAGAATGACCAGTCCCATGTTAGAAACCAGTCCAGTCCCCCTGGTGTGGCTCAGTGATTGAGTGTGGACCCACCAACCAGGAGGTCACGGTTCAATGACCAGTCAGGGCACATGCCTGGATTGCCAGCCAGATCCTCAGTAGGGGGCGTGCGGGAGGCAGACGATGGGTGATTCCTTCATCATTGATGTTCCTCTCTCTCTCTCCCTTTCCCATCCTCTCTCTGAAATCAATAAAAACATTAAACACACACACACACACACACACACACACAAAGTCCCAAAACAATCCAGATGGCCTTTTCTTGTGGTTGGCAGGAGTGGTCTTGTCTTGTGGGGTTAGGGCCTTGAAACGCATGGGTTGCTCTTACAGTGAGCAAATCTTTTGAGCTCCCACAGTGTCCCTCCCACCTGGCCCAGACTTGACCACCTCCTACCGATTGGGCTTCAGCTGGAGCCTCCGGGACAGTGGGTGGGGCCTGGGTTCAGAGACAGTTGCCTAGAACTGGTGAGCTGAGGGGAGAGGGGAGTGAGCTGTCCCTACTTTCTGAGCACAGTCTCCCCAGGAGGCACCAGGTAGGAGCTTGGGGATCTTGGAGAGCGAGCTTGGGAATACCCGGAGGAGGGAATTAATTACTCCCTGGCCCACACTTAAAAAATATATATATATGTTATTAATTTTTTACAGAGAGGAAGAGAGAGGGATAGTTAGAAACAGTTGTCTCTTGCACACCCTCTACTGGGGATGTGCCCGCAATCAAGGTACATGTCCTTGACCGGAATCGAACCTGGGACTTTTCAGTCTGCAGGCCAACGCTCTATCCACTGAGCCAAACCGGTTTCGGCAAGCCCACATTTTTCTTGAGATTGGCTTCCTCTGGGTTGACTCTTGGAGCTCCAGGTATAACCTCCCGCCCCCCCCTGTCACCGTTTCTGTTGCAGAGGGGTTGCTGAGCGAGGAGGCAGTTCTGCGGGAGGAAGAGGATGGCCACCCCGGCGTGGTGGCTGCCGTGTTCCCAAGCCTGTCCGAGCCCCGCAGCACCTCTGGGAGCACGTCCCGGAGCCCCCGGGAAGAGGAGGAGGAGCCGCCGCCCCCGCCACCACCGGTGCTCCCCTGGAGGCGGCACCTCTCCCTGGGGAGCCGGCACCCGGGCGACAAGCCGGCCCCCCGCCGCTTCCGCCGGCTCCACCACCCCATGGCCCACCACGTGGACCTCGGGGAGCTGGACAGCCTGATGGCCAGCATCCTGGACGCGCCCACCATCTGCCCGGACTGCGGGGAGAGCTTCAGCCCGGGCGCCGCCTTCCTGCAGCACCAGCGCATGCACCGCCTGGCGGAGGCGGCGGCCGCGGCGGCCGCGGCGGCGGGCGGCCTGGACCCCTTCGGCGGCCTGGGGGGCGAGTGCGCAGGCGCGGCGGCAGCTGCGGTGGGCGTGGCCGGGGTGGGCGTGGCCGGGGGCTACGGGCCGGGCCCCGCCCTGGCGCGGCCCCCGCGCGAGAAGCCCTTCCGCTGCGGCGAGTGCGGCAAAGGCTTCAGCCGCAACACCTACCTGACCAACCACCTGCGCCTGCACACGGGCGAGCGGCCCAACCTGTGCGCCGACTGCGGCAAGAGCTTCAGCTGGCGCGCCGACCTGCTCAAGCACCGGCGGCTGCACACGGGCGAGAAGCCGTATCCGTGCCCCGAGTGCGGGGAGGCCTTCAGCCTGAGCGCGCACCTGCTCAGCCACCGGCGCGCGCACGCGGCGGCGGCGGCGGCGGCGGCTGCAGCGGCGGCGGCAGGCGGGGCGGGCGGCGTTGGCGCCGGGCCGGCAGCGGCGGCTTCGCTGCTGCTGCGGCCGTTCGCGTGCGGCGAGTGCGGCAAGGGCTTCGCGCGCCGCTCGCACCTGGCCAACCACCAGCGCACGCACACGGGCGAGAAGCCGCACGGCTGCGGCGAGTGCGGCAAGCGCTTCGGCTGGCGCTCGGACCTGGTCAAGCACCAGCGCGTGCACACGGGCGAGCGGCCCTACGTGTGCCGCGAGTGCGGCGAGGCCTTCAGCGTCAGCTCGCACCTCTTCACGCACCGGCGCACGCACTCGGGCGAGCGGCCCTACGTGTGCCGCGAGTGCGGCAAGGGCTTCGGCCGCAACGCGCACCTCGTCAACCACCTGCGCGTGCACACGGGCGAGCGGCCCTTCCGCTGCGGCCAGTGCGACAAGCGCTTCGGCGACGTGTCCACGCTCACGCAGCACCAGCGCACGCACACGGGCGAGAAGCCCTACGCGTGCGCCGAGTGCGGCAAGAGCTTCATCCAGAGCTCGCACCTCATCCGCCACCGCCGCATCCACACGGGCAACAAGCCGCACAAGTGCGCCGGCTGCGGCAAGGCCTTCCGCTACAAGACGCACCTGGCGCAGCACCAGAAGCTGCACCTGTGCTAGGGCGCTGCCCCCCATCCCATCCGCGGGAGCTTGTGGGGTGTAAGTATCCTGGGGGACAGATATCCCGGACCAAGGAATGAATGGGAAGAAGGGCGGGAAGGGACAATCCGAGAGGGATGGGGGGGTCTTCAGGTAAGGTGACCAGGCGTCCCGCTTTTGGCGGGACAGTCCCGCTTTCTAACATTTTTAACGGGACGCGGGACAGATTGTTAAAAAGCGGGACATCTGGTCACCTTATCCCAAGGGCAGCGTGGAGAGGTGTTCTCTTTTGGTGCTATATTTTGGGGACAACGAAGGGATGTTTTGGAGATGGGCTTTTGGGCGTGCTGACTTCTCAAACGCGCTGGGGGCTAAGCGGGCACTTTTTGAGGACCCGGAGGAAGTGGGGTTCCGGGAGGGGGAGGGAACAGGGCGGCAGGCCTTGAGTAGGTTGGGCTGTGATGTTGTGTGGAAATCGGGAGGGTGTGGTGGGAGTGAGGGTCACGGGGTACAATAAAAGGCGGGTGTAGATAATTCTGCCCTGGTTGTACCAGGTGTGAAGCCACTGTTTGCCCTGCCTCCCCTCCCGGCCCTCCCCACTTCAGCTCAAGTCCCACGAAAAGCAGAGGAGTCTTGCCGTCCTGCAGAGGACAGACCCCGAGCTCTCCTCTCTCTGAGCCACAGGGAGCTGCTATTTGGAGGCCTCTGGGGGAAGCCGGGCAGAAAGGCTGCACACCCTCACTTCCAAGGTGAAACTGAGACCTTCCTTCGTAGCTGGTTTTCAGATCTAGGCAGTCAGGTTCTGTGCTGCTTCCTCTGAACCGTCCTGGTTTCCGATGGGCCAGGGTGCTCTGTGGGGAGCAGGCCCTGCCCCAGGGCCAGGTGTGTGCCTGGCTCCGTGTTTCTCAGGCCTCCCCGTGACCTCCCTGTGGGGACAGGGGGCCATCCCGGCTCTGGGCGGCTTTCCCTTTCCCGGCTCAGCTGGGGGCTTATGTCAAGTGAACCTCAGGCCGTCCAGTGGCCCTGTGACCTGCTGCAAAGGTCAGTGCGCTCAAGAGCTTTGCAAAATTCACATGTTGGGGGGAGGCTCCTTGATCTCATTTGCTTTATATCTGTGTACCCTCCACCCCTGATAGTGATGGGGGAGCTCATGGGACTCCCACCTTCACTCCTATTGACTGGGCTCCGGTCTGAGTAGACACTTTTTTAATTTTAAATTTAACACGAAGGCACAGGCGAAAGCTCCAGGCTTCACACACAGAGGGCACAGGCAGGGAGAGGTGTGAGTGCAGAACTGCCAAGTAGCACAAGCCCTGAATGTTTCCTGGTTCTACAAAAGCCAAACTCGCACTTTCACATTTGCAAAGTGCTTTAGCGTTTTAATGATTGTTAGTTGCTCCTCACGTCTGTGAGGCGGGTCAGTGTGGTGACCCCTGTCTGGGGGAAGGCTGCTCTGAGGAGAGGCTGTGGCAGTGTGGACAGCTGTGGTCTGACCTTTTGTGCTCCCAGCTGCTGGGGAGACTGGCCGTTGTGATTTACATAATGAAACGAGGACACTGAAAACTTGAACACATGTTGGAACACTTAAGGCCAGCCTGGAAGGGCCACAGGTGCCCTCGCTGACACAGCTGGTTTTGTCCCATCTGTAGGGTGTCCTCGGCGTGTTATGTGTCCTGTGGGGCTGTGGTTAGAGGACTCCTGTGTAGATGTCAGTTCCCTGGGCTGAGCCCCTCCCCCGGTTTAGCCTCTGGAAGTCAGCGTGGTGGGAAGCAGCCTTGTTTTCTCACTGGTGATGGGTACCCTGTGCTTTTCACGGATAAAACAACCACAAGGTGGTTCTTAACAGTGCAGATGTCGGCCATTGATCCTTGATTAGTTGTATTCTAGCAAAGAACCTCTTTGGCGGGGCCGTAGGAAAGCATGTTTATGTCATTATAAAACCATTTTTTTAAAAGAATGCTGAGAATTTCGGGCATGTATGATGCTTGTCGATCTTGCCCTCTTAGGGGTTGTTATTCACAAATGCAAATAGATTTTCAAAATACAGTTTTGGAAGACTGCGAATTGTTCTTTTCAGATGTTCTCCTAGTTGAGCAAAGCAAGTGTCCGTTATTTATTCTGCATTGTCTGGCCTGAATAGGATGTGTGTGAGACTTCACCTGAAGATAATGTGGCCCATGTGTAGGTAATCTTGTCCCTTTTCCCACGCACATCTACCTCTTCCGGCTGTCTTTGGTTCTCCCAAGTCCGTGCCTGTGAAATCGCATCACACGTTCGCCTCTTCAAGGGTTGACTCTCCACCTTGTGGGCTGTTTGGCCTTTTGCTGCCATTGCACAGTCTCGCCCACGTCCATGACGTTTCCTATTGGCGGCTTTGGAGAAAGGCCTCGACTGGAGAGGAGACGGAAGTTGATGTGATTTAGAGGCCGTGGGAATCTTTGGGTTTCTCCGGCCTCTCCTGTTCTTTCTGTGCCCGCGGCTAAGAAGAGACAGCTGCTGCTCCCGCGTCCCCTCTGTGAGCAGACCAGCCATCACCACCCACTCTCACGGCGTGTCGCCAACGTGACTCCATTTTCCTTACAATGAATCCTTCAGGGAGCGAATCTGCGTTGAGTGAAGTGAAATGCGTTCAGGGGATGGTTTCTTGGATTCACTTTTGCAGTAACCGTGTTTCTCAAGCACACCCGTTTCCTGTGGTTCGCCCTTACACGTGGTAATCGGAAGACTCCCTTCTACCAGCTCAGGACAGACGCTGGGGGCAAGTGTATCATTTGCTTCCCGGGAGTATGGTCAGGTGCAGGCTGCGCCTCCCCGAGCAGAATCTGGCGTCAACAGGTGGAACAGCTTGCTGGCGTCGGGAGCCCCGATTTGGTGGGAGATGACTGGTGAACCCCGGGAGCCATGTGGTCTCTTTGAGACCGAGAGGCTGTCCATACGTGAAAAAGTGCACACGGAGAGCCTGTGTTCACACGCCATTGGAACTGAGCCCCTCCCGTCACTGTGATGTTACTTTACAGCTGATTGTTCAAACGGTGAATAATTTAATGGCCCTAAAAGTGACTGGTTTTGTGTGAGTGTGTGTGTGTGCTTGTGTCTGTGGGAATTGCCTTATTTTCCCCGGGTTGTTTTATTTAATGATGGCTCCCTGGACAGCATTCTGGTGCTCCAGCAGCCGGTATGGAATATGTGTCATTAAATCCTCGTCAGTCTTTCGCTGTGCCGTCCTTGATTCTTTATTTGTTCCCGTTTGATGTCGAGTCATGCTGTGGAAGCTGTGCTCACCCATGCAAGTAGATTCGTAAAAATACTAGAGGCCCCGTGCACAAAACGCATGCAAGGGGCTCAGCCCCTGCTGCTGAGGCGGCTTCGTCTGGAAGGTCATCCAGTCGGTCGTCCGGTCTAATTAGAATATTATGCTTTTATTATTGTTGGCTCTCGGTCGGCCCGCCTTCCACTCACACACACACACACACACACACACACACACACACACGCTTACAGTTACAGACAACCAATTACAGACAACCAGTCAGGGCAAAGGACAACACTGCTCTTTGAAGTTTACTACAATAGATAAAGCCAGGTGGCCATTGCAGGCTGCAGCTGGCCCTCCTTTGTTCATCTCTGTCCATCAGACTGCCATCACCCCCTCTGCTTTATTATTATTATTATTATTATTAATGTACAGTAGTGGTTTCAGGTGTACAGCTTACATGCTTTACCTAGTACCCCCCTCAGTGTTTCTAGAACCCATGCAGCTTTCACACTGTTCCTGACGAGGTAGCCTATGCCATACTTATATCCCTGTGACTGTTTTCTAACTGCCAATTTGTGCTTCTTAGTCCCCCCACCTTCTTCCCCCCAGGGCCCCACACCCTTCTGGGAGCCCAGCTCCCTGTTTGTAGGAGTCTGCTGCTTCCTTTGCTGCCTGGGCTCACTATTCAACCCCAAACTCTGGCCTCCCTCCCATTCTCATTGATTGGCTGCCTTCTGCATGCTCCGACTGAGGATCGAGCCTGCAACCCAGGTATGTGTCCTTGACTGGAATCAAACCCGGGACCCTTCAGTCCGCAGGCCGATGGCTCTATCCACTGAGCCAAACTGGCTAGGGCGCATTGTTGTTGTTAGGTCTGCTCTTAGGAAGTGTCTGAGTCAGACCAGACCTCTGGCAGGTGAGGACCACGTACTGCTCTGGGCTGATCTGAGTGGGTTTTGTAGGAGCCACAGATACTTCTCCATAGCCGGAGGCCTCTGCCCGAGGGAGGCCCTGCCTAATGCTGCTGTCGCTGTAGACCGGGCTGATAGGTAGACTTGATCTTGGCTTTCCTGCCCGGTGGAAAGATGCCGGGTGAGGTCTGGGGAGAAGGTCAAGCCAGACAACACGTGAAGGTTCCTGGGAGGTTTAGGACAGGGCAGGTGTTAGGAAACAAGGTGGACATGGGGTGAGGTGGTGTATGGTAGCTCCTAGGAGCCCAGGAGGGGAGAGGCAGATGTTCACATGTAGACTGTGTCCTCTGGGATCCCAGCTCCCGGGGGAGAGGAGGAGGCGCGAGGCCATGGCCTTCACTTTCCCAGGGGACAGAGGAAGAAACGCGCTAGGAACCAGCCCGCCTGTGCCTTCGGGGGCCTGCTGTGCTGGGGAGAGCGCGGGGACGGGCTTTGGCGTTTCCTGGCTGTGGTCCTGAGCAGGCTTGGATGTTCCCGGGTCTCTGTTTCCTCTCCAGGAGGCACTGTCTCTCTGGACTCTGCCTACTCAGATGCCTAGTGGTTGTCAGAGAGCTTAGAACCCACTCGGTAAGTACCCAGGGCTTAACTCCATTGCTTCACAGAAGAAGGAGAGCGGGATGGGTTTGTACTCTCAGACACAGGAGGACTGATACCTGGTGGGGTCCTGTTGGTCCCTGGCCTCGGTCCTCTACCACTAGAGGGGTGTCATGCCCCTTCCCAGATGGGCGCAGGAGCCAGGACACTGGGAAGAGTTGGGAAGCCACATCCCCAGCTTTGGCTTTCCACTAACAAACCAAGGCTCCAGGGGAGGACTGTGATGGGCAAGGCTAGCTGCAGCAGCAGGGGGGTGCCCGAGGATACCCACCGACCGACCTACAGCTGCCCG